TCAATAGGTTAGACATTTTGCTCTCCGGTACAGTGAGCTCAGCAAGGTGCCTCCCTAAGCAGAGCCAAAGCCAAAACAGTTCATATCAGCATGAAGCCCTGCACTTGACCATGAGAGTGACTGTCTACACACACAGAGAGAGACACACACAGTCACACACAGAGACACACACAGACACACACACATAGATACACACACAGACACACACACAGACACACACATACAGGCACACACAGAGACACACACACACAGACACACACACAGGCACACACACACATAGACACATACATAGAGACACACACACACATAGATACACACACAGACACACACAGAGACACACAGACACACACACAGAGACACACACATAGACACACACACAGACACACAGACACACACACACAGACACACACACAGAGACACACACATAGACACAGACACACAGACACACACACACACAGACACACACACACAGACACACACAGACACACACATAGACACACACACAGACACACAGACACACACAGAGACACACACACATACACACAGACACACTGGTATTTTTGCACCATAGGCTCTTCAGATACCTCCAGCTCAGGTTCTTGGGGAGAACTAGCTGGTACAAACTTTCTCCCTAATCACTTATTTTGAAATTCACACCTAGTCCTTAGGACACACTGGGAAGTAAAGGTTCCATTCAGAGCAGAGCAATATCGGTAGGAATAGGTGTCAAACTATTGCAGTGCAGGCTAAAAAAGTGCTCTGGGACTAGGTGTGGTAACACAGGCCTCTGATCTCAGCACCCTAGAGGCAGAAGCAGGTGGAGCTCTGTGGAGTATGTATAGTTTCAGGGCCAACCTGGTCTACTTAGAAAGTTCCAGACCAGACAGAGATACATATGAAGACCTTGTCTCAAAAAAAAAAAAAAGGAAAAAAACTAAAAAGGAATAATGAATGAACTCTTGTCGGTTGGGTATGGTGGTGCTTACCTGTAAACCTAGAACTCAGGAGCTCGAGGCAGGAGGATTGTCAGGAGTTTGAGGCTACTTTGGGCTATATAACAAGTAACAAGCTAGTCAGTGCTACATAGTTGAGACTCTTATCTCAACAAACAAAAAAAAAGGAGATTAGGTGATAAGGAAGGCAGGACAGAGGGACCTCCACCACGGAGCTTCCTTCTCAGTCCCCAGAGTTCTGAATTATGTCCTCCATTCACCTTCGATCAATGGGTAAATTCTTTACCCTTTACCGTAGAGCCCACCCATTTCTAGAACTCTGCAAAACACTGCGGATACAGCAGGAACTCCGGGCATCCATCTCTGCCCTCTGTACTCGGTCACTCACAGCTCCAAGCACTCATTTCCAGTAGGCAGCTGACACCTGAGCTTTGGCTAAACATTTCCAGTGCATACATAAGTTAGACTCTGACTCCCTGGCAGGCCAATGGTTTCTTGGTTTTGTTTACTCTTTGTTCATTCTTTACACCGTGTGTAGGAGAAGGTGGGACGTTAACTCTCTCGTGTGTCCCATAGGCACTATTGCTTTGTGGAGCTTTGTCAGAGACGTGGTGAGCCCACCTTTTGGCCTTGCAACTCGCTGGCCAGGCCCTTCAGAAACTCACTTTGTCTTCTTGGGTTGGAGGATGACGAGTCCTGAGCTTTGACGTGGGAAGGACACAAACGCCTAATGCCCTTCGGTGTGCTGACGTGCGTCATATTCTTCCCTTCCTTGCCTCCAAAACTGTCCTTCTAAGAACTCTAACTGAAGTGATCAGACAGCCAAACAAGCCATGCAGACAAGCCTCGGTGCAGTGCCAAAGGCGTAGGCAGCCTCTGCAGCCATCCTGGCTCCTGGTGACACCACGAACAAAGAAAGGGAACAGACAGCTGCCTCAATGTGTTCTCAAGCAAAGCTGGGGACTACCCAGTGCTGAAGACACATTTCCTAATTTATTTGGTGTTGTTATTCATTTGGCTAGAGGCTGAAGGCGGGGCAGCACACATGCTAACACATCCCCTATCTCTTCCAGGAACCTTTATCTCCCAATACCAACTTCTCTGCTTCTAGGTAATCTTAAGAATTAAAGTGGATCAACTGTTTCCTTGGGTTTAATGATTTATAAACCATGTGGGGTTACTAGGATTACTTTTTTCTTTTTTTCTTCTTTTCTTTTTTTTTTTTTTAAAGATTTGTTTGTTTTATGTATGTGAGTACACTGTCACTGTCTTCAGACACACCAGAAGAGGGCATCAGATCTCATTACAGATGGTTGTGAGCCACCATGTGGTTGCTGGGATTTGAACTCATGACCTCCAGAAGAGCAACCGATGCTCTTAACCGCTGAGCCATCTCTCCAGCCCACTTTTTTATTTTTTTGACTGTACATCTCAGTTTGGTTTTAGGGCTCATGGTCCTCCTATCTCAACCCCTTGAATGTGGGGATCACAGGTATATACCAACACACCTGGCACATTTTATTTTAGTTTTAATATTGACAGTATCGGTAATAATGTTAATTTATCTTGCAAGCACAAACAGATGATAATGTGTGACACTTGAACAGTCTCCAGTGCTGCCAAGGCAGAGAGCGCTCCAGTGTAGCGCCTGGCACCCCTGCTAATCACAGCACACGAGTCGCATACAGCAGCCTTAATTTATGTCTTCTCCCTTTTAAAATGCCATCATACAGAACAACCCAGTCACAGAATGGCATGCATAGGACAGGAGGAGGAGGAGGAGGAGGAGGAGGAGGAGGAGGAGGAGGAGGAGGAGTGTGTTTTCTTAATGTTGGTCTTGTGCTGTCAATGAGTACAAACATTGGTTTCAACGGACACACAGGGATTCTCAGTCATCTGAGACAAAGGGTATAGTTACCAGTTGATTAAAAAGCCCATTGCTGGGCTGGAGAGATGGCTCAGCGGTTAAGAACACTGACTGCTCTTTCAGAGGTCCTGAGTTGTTCAATTCCCAGCAACCACATGGTGGCTCACAACCATCTGCAATGGGGTCTGATGCCCTCTTCTGATGCGTCTGTAGAGCGTAATGATGAATACATAAAATTAAAAGAAAAAAGAAAGAGAGAGAGAGAGAGAGAAGAAAAAGCTTTAAATAAAATTTTTTTAAAAAAAAGAAAAGCCCATTGCTTTGTTTGCTACATGGTGCTTTTAATGCTTAAAAATGAGATTGAGGCTGCTTGGGTGGGGGAGGGTTGGGGTTGTATGTACACCTTGAGTCACAACACAGAGGTAGGCAGATGTCTAAGTTGGAGGTCAGCCTGGTCTACATAGTAAGTTCCAGAACAGCCAGGACCACACAGAGAAACCCTGTGTTGAAAAAACAAACAAAAAAAATGAGATGTGGGGACTCCAAGATGAAAAAGGCACAGAGGAGTTGGGAGACACAGCTACTTCTAACAAACCAGGACTTGAAATCTCTCTAGATGATATAAAATCCAATCCTGGGAAACTGGAAAGAATTTTCACCTCTTTTTCTGATCACTTGGCTTGTTTCCACAGTGAGAACGATAAGCCATCCGTAGCTCACAGCGAGGCACCACCATCGTTCCGGGTAGACCCATAACTCCAGTCAACTCCGGTGTTTCAAGCCCTGGCCTAGCTGAGACTCACGATCTCCATGCTGCACGATCTCCAGGCTGACTTCAAGCTTGCAGCAGCCCTGCCTCCGCATCTGAGTGCACCATTGCCACATCCAGCTTTAAATCAGAATTTCATGTGACTTTCATGTGACATAAAATATCCCTTCCCTGTATGTAATAGAAAGTACAAAGAAAAGCTGACTGGAGGAAGAATGAGAATCAGCTGGAGGGGGGAGGGGCAACGGGGCTGTGGGGGAGAGGAACCAACCAGAACATGCTAGAACACATGCATTTGAAGACGCTATGATAAAGCCCATTACTTTTGTATTCCGGTCTAAAAACATTAACTTAATTTTTTAAAAAATGAAGCATTCATCCTTTTAATTATTTTCTTAATTTATCTGATAACCCAAAACATACTCTTAGCTCTTAAGCCATATAAAAACAGGTAGCGGGTTGGATTTAGCTTCTATGTTGTAGCTGGATGACTTGAGACCGGGAAAGCCATATTTGATTGAACCCACACGATAAGTTCGGATGAATCTGTAAGTGTTATCTGGGGTCTAGTAGTGAAAGTAAAGGCCATGTGCTTCACTGAAAAATCGGCAAAATACAACGGTCCCTTTAGCACCCATTCAAAAAACCGTCATCCAGATACAGCCTGGAGGAAGAGGGTTTCCCCTGTTTTTATGATTCCTGTCTACTAGTATTAAACTTTATAATTTTAGTTCTTCACTACTCCACCTGGACCAGAACATATTAATGGGGGGGGGGGCAGGGGGGGGGGGGGGGGGAGGGGGGAAAGGGGAGGATGAGGATGAGGATGAAGAAAGCAGTGAGTGGTTCATTTAAAATACTAGGAAGTATACTTAGGGAGTGAAAAGTCTCCTTCCACGCATGTGGCCCACCCATCTCTGCAACTCTGTTCTTGGGGTTTGGGGATCCTCGGGGTGAAACGGGGGTAGGGGGGCGGCAATGAAAGGCTTTGCATACCAGACCTGCACCTGATTCTCCTCCTTGTATTGTCTTTCCAGTATCTCAAGTTTCTCCAGTCAGAATACAAAGTCATGCGTATGGTACCTTCCATATGCCTGGCACAGATGCAGAAACACCTGCCTAGCCCCCAACGCCGTCCACAGGAAGTAGGTGATTTTGCAAAGGACTATAGAGAGAACTGAGATGAGAAATCTATGCCGGGCATCCCTGGAAAGAGGAAGGGGGCGGGAGTGCTCAAAAAGAGGCCTCACCCCGCCCTCCTGCCCGCCCCTCCTGCCCCACCCCAACCAGGTTCCAGCCCAAGTCATTTAAAAGGTTATTGGAAAGGTTTCCAAACTGAGGTAGCAGGTGGCCCTCTGACATAGCAGAGGTGGTGCTTGCTCTCTCTCTCTCTCTCTTTCTTGGGCAGAGGATGTCCAGGTCAGACCCGGGAAAGAGTTTGAAGCCCAGTGAGAACAAGATGAGCCTGGAGCTGAATCCAACAGCCCCCAGCGACCAGGGCCGCAGCAACGAAGCCTTCCAGGTGAGCAGGGCTAAAGGGGACCAAGTAACCCGCTGTCTTCACATCTGGCAAGCTTAGTAACAAGAGCTGTGGGCTCTCTGAGCTGCAGCAAGAATGTTAATTCTTTTATGGGTACGCTTTAAGCTCATTCTTTTTTTTTCTGACTTGGACTCGTCTGGGTTGGTAAACCTGAAAAGTCTCTTTCAACATCTAGTCTTGAACTGGACTGCCCTCCTCGCTCCGTAAACAAGCTGTTTTCCTTTCCCTTTTTTGCCCCTGGACTCACAGCAAGTTTCAGAATTTATCCTCAGGTTCCTTCCCCAAGACCTGGGCAGGGAAGGGGCAGGCGCCTCAGCCCCCAGTGGAGGCTGCGGAAACCTGAATGGGTTCTCAGCTCGGGTGGAATGCAGCCCAGAATCCTACTCAGGATAGCCTACTTATGCAAAGCATATCCCCAGCCAAGACTGCCGAGTGATTAATGCACCTAGTATCGGGGCTGGGTGCCACAGGTGGCCCGTGAGGGAGGCCGGTCCCTGCGCTGTAATACCCTGCCTGCCAGGAACCTGGATTTGACTTGCTCCTTATTTGACGCACAACACGAGGGCTTTGAAAAGATAGGAAACTTCAGCTACCCTCGGGTTTCCTGGGCACTTAATGGGCAGAACACGATTTTTAAATGACAACACAAGAAGTGGCAAGCAAAAGCGCCTGCGTGAGCCTGGTCTCCTTCGCCATTACTCGACTTTAATCACGACGGCGCCATCCCAAAGTTTATAGGTATAAGGAAATTAAACTGATAAAAGACAGGTTGATGGGAGGGCGGAGCGTGTAATCTCTACTAACGTTTTAAATCTCACATGCATGGTGTCTCACAAAAAGGCAACGTGTCCACAGGGGTGAACTCCGGGGCATGTTCGCAGTAGCATTTATGTGTAGTATGGAGAGGCAAGCAGAATAGGCAAGGGGGCTGGGGCTTTAGGGTCCCAATAAATTAATGCAAAGTGATTAGAAATGGTTGGAGAGTTAGTGCAAGTTAAGGGTCATTGGAGGTTTCTTTGTGCAGAATTGTCTCTGCTGACATCTCTTCCCCCGGAGTGCACGATGGGAGGGAAATCTGTGGGCTTCATTAGGAAGACCAGGAGGGTGGAGGCTGCTTTCTCTTCAATGTCCTCTGCTCAACACATTCTAATGTGACACTGGGGGCAGTGGTGGCGAACGCCTTTAATCCAGCACTTGGGAGGCAGAGGCAGGTGGATTTCTGAGTTCAAGGCCAGCCTGGTCTACAGAGTGAGTTCCAGGACAGCCAGGGCTATACAGAGAAACCCTGTCTCAAAAAAAACCAAAAAAAAAAAAAAAAGAAAGAAAGAAAGAAAGAAAGAAAGAAAGAAAGAAAGAAAGAAAGAAAGA